TGTCAGCCCCTCATTGACAAAATGTTGCAGAGACTACAACATTGGAGCACTAGACTGCTATCTTATGCATGTAGAATACAACTAATTAAAAATGTGTTATTATCTATTGCAAACTATTGGCTTCAAATCTTTCCCCTGGCTAAATATGTGCTGAAGTAAATAGAAGGTATTGTAGACAATTCTTGTGGACTGGAAAAAATGTGCCAAGCAGAAAATCTCCCATTTCATGGGAACACATTTGTGATCCAAAAAACGTAGGTGGGATGAATTTAATAGCTTTAGTAGAATGAAACAAAGCCACAATTGATAAACTATTATGGGATATTTGGACTAAGAAGGACAAATTATGGATTCAATGGGTTCAAATATATTATATGAAAAATATAGAAGTAAGTTGGTACCAGCCAAAGTTGAATGTTTTGTGGATCCTTAAGGCCATTTTTTAACATCGGGACCTGTTAGTCGCCCCTGTTGTTTGGTAGGTGTAACAGCCCAATTTTTAATAACTGATTAATGACACTAGTTAATTGGTTTGTATGATTTAAGTGAATTATTGGATTTAACTGATTTATTCTATTTGGTGGAATAATGTGGACTTACTAGATATTCTCTAATTAAGGATGTGATGGGATATTTTATGAGAAATGAATTGGTAAATATCTTGAGAGAATAAATATATTGGAGAGAAATAGAAGGGAAGGATATATGAGGGAGAGTGGGAGGACAATGTAAAATAGAAAACATGAAAGAAAGATAGAGGAAGAAGAGAAAGTAGAAGGAAAAAGAAGGGAAAGCTTGGAAAGCTCAAGAACGACTTCTAGCTTCCGATTAATCGAGGTAAGGGTATGAAATATTGTTATCTTACCAATGTATGTGATTATGTATGGATTGTTTGGATTTGTTTGGTTGTTTTCCCTCATCTTCTATTCTAGGGCATGAATGAGTTTAATCGGTAGAAACCGAGTTTTAACGGTTGAAATGAGAATGAGTGGTAGATTTTAGTCGAGGAATGTTGGGCTAAGGCTACTGAGACGAGTTGGGATTGAAACGGGTAGATTTCGATGCGTTTTAGAGTTTTGGACAGTGGGGATTTCTGAGTTCGCAGACCCTCGCTAGCACGTTCGCTAGGCGAGCGGGTCGCGAACATTCGCTGGGCATTCGCTGTAGCGAGCCAGTAGCGAACGGTCTCAGACTTGGACAAAATGGTTTTTGGTGTTCTTCGCTGGTAGCGAAAGGGGGGCGAAGCGTTCGCTAGGCCTTCGATGAACGAGTGTGGTAGCGAATCAAGTCAGTGGCTTCTGTTTGCCTTCGCGAGTTTGTTCGCTAGGCGAACAAGTAGCGAGCACTCGCTGGGAGCTCGCCAGGCGAACAAGGTAGCGAGCATGTCAGCATGTTATTTTCTTGCGTTTTCCATCCAATGGTTGATTGTTTGGTTCAATTATGTTAATCCTTGTATAACATGAATAGTTTATGTATTATTGAGATAAAACGTGCTGTGGGTAGCCTTATGGCGTGAATCCTAGATTGTGAAGTATGGCCTTTTGGCAATTATATGCATTGTTTGAATTAAACATGAATGCATGACGTATGTGATTGAGTTCGTTGCAGTTGGCACGACCTTGTGTTTGTATATTGATTTTATGTGTTAAGGTGTGAAGAATGCATGAGAATATATGTGTATGTTAATGATGTTAAGAATATGTAAGCGTGCGAGATTCTTACTCACTGGGGTAGAATGACAAGGTGTCGTTCCTAGTGTAGTAATCACTGGGGTAGAATAACTGTGATGTTGTTCCTGGTGGGGTATATGCGATGTACCCACAATCCAAATGAGGATTTGCGGGAGTTGATGAGTTTATATGAGTCATATGGTATGTGTATGTGATTGTTGTATGAAAGTGTGAGGTGTGGCCGTTTGGCAATTATGTGTATAATTGTATGTACTTGTGTGTGTGGTGTAATGCGTAATTATATATATTTGTGGATATGTATGCATTTCAAGAGTGTGTGGAGTCGTTTTGCGTGTGTAGCATCATGATTGCATTCTTGTGCCTTGATCCCGTGGAGGATCTGCAGAAACCTCGTGCGCCCCTGTGGGGTGTGAGCGATAGTTTATTCTTGATCCCGTGGAGGATCTGCAGAAACCTCGTGTGCCCTTGTGGGGTGTGAGCGATGGTTTATTCTTGATCCCGTGGAGGATTTACAGAACGATTGTGTGCCCCTGTGAGGTGTGAGCAATCCTGAAACATCGTGTGCCCTTGTGGGGTGTGAGCGATGATTTATTCTTGATCCCATGGAGGATCTGCAGAAATCTTGTGTGCCCTTGTGGGGTGTGAGCGATGGTTTATTCTTGATCCCGTGGAGGATCTGCAGAAACCTCGTGTGCCCTTGTGGGGTGTGAGCGATGGTTTATTCTTGATCCCGTGGAGGATCTGCAGAACGATTATGTTCCCTTGTGGGGTGTGAGCAATCCTGAAACATTGTGTGCCCGTGTGGGGTGTGAGCGATGGGTGAACATCGTAGGCCCGACGGGGAGTTACTTCGGTAACGAGCGATGGTTCCTTTTGGTTCTTCAATTGAACCTACTGAACGAGTCGGTACCTCATTTGCATCTGGATAGAGTAGTGAGTCGGTCTCTATGAGTTGCATTATCATCTTTATATGATGCATTGGTGAGATAAACATGAATATAAATGTTTATGTGAATTGGTGGAATAAACATGTTGTGTGTGTTTATGTGAATTGATGAATGTGTTTATTTAGGTAAACGTATGTTGTAAAATATATGACGTTTATAGTGTATTTGTGGTGAGAAAATGTGGAACATATGTATTATGTATTTGTGCATTTATATATGATTATATGCATTGTTATTATGATAATATTTCTCACCCTTCTGTTGGAATGATGTCCTTCATGACATCGTGTAGGTATCAAGGTGTAGTACTGCTAGTAGTTGCGAGGTCGTTGTTGGTGTAGCTGTTTAGTGATTCAATTGTATTGGGTCGAGTCATGCTCTGGTCGTGTAACACTGGGATCGTTTGGGTTACGTTTCAGACGTATATTGTGTTGTTAGCCTCAGTGCCTAAGTGATGTTGATTTATATGATAAATGCAAATATTTCTTTTATGAAAAATTGTGATATAAATGAATCCGCTGCTACATGCAAATGAAAATTTGTAAAGTATGATTATTTATTTCAGTGTTATTGAGCATGACAGATGGTTTTTAGTAAATTGGAATTGTATGTGTGATTCCCTTTGTGAATGCATGTTAATTTTACTCTTAAAATGCTTATTTTTCCGTGGGGTTTAAAAGGGTGTTACAGTATGAACTGCAAGAAAAAGGTAAATATAATACTAGAAAGATATATCATATGATCCGTGGAGATAAGCCTATAGTGCATTAGAGGAACCTCACTAGAAGCAATTTTGCCAGGCTTCGAGCAGTATTTACACTATGGTTAGCTTGCAATAACAGGTTGTTGACAAAAGATAAAATGAGCAAATTTGGAATGTCAAATGATGGTGTTTGTTTACTCTGCAGTCATATGGAATCGTGGCATCATTTGTTCTTTGAGTGTAGTTTCTCTAACAGAATTTGGAATGCTCTATTGAATCGGATATGTTACAATCACAAGCCTTGCAAATGGGATGTGGATTTAAACGGGATAGTGTATACTGTGAAAGGAAAATGCTGCAAGAGGAGTTTATTAAAAATTGCTCTGGCGGAAACTATTTACATTATTTGGAATTTGAGAAACAAAATTATCTTCCAAAGAGCTAAGAAGGACAACTTTCAATTTGAGAATATCAAAACCAATATCATTAAGAGAACTTAGATGAATTTTAAATTAAAGTTGTATTGTAATTATTGTGTTGATGAGTGTTGTACTTGTTTTTTTGTTTTGTCCTTTGAATTCTGGATCATTCGATGCCTGATTTTGTATTGATAGTTTTTGATAATAAATTTTTTTCTTTATTCCAAAATAAAAATAAAAAATGAAATAGTATAATAAAAAAAGAATAAATAAAAAAATTATATAAAATATATTATTTAAAAATATAATAAAAAAATATTAAAAAATATAGTATAAAAATAATAGATAAATTAAACAAAATCAACATAATATCAATTCATTCGGATATATTTTAAACTAAAAATCAGTTAATACCAATTACACTCCTAGCCAAACCCATTAGACCATCTCCAACGGTGGTTCTTCAAATTGGTTTGCCAACTTGACATTGAAATTGTCAACAAAAAGTTGTTCCAGCTGGTGAACGTTCCTTGCATAAGCAATGGTTCTTCATTTTTTTTTATTAAAATAATTATTTAACTTGTTGGTTTTATTTTTTTTTTAAACTTTTTTTATTTATTATAAATATAAGTTTGTTGCAAAAATGTATAACAATCCTATTTTCTCTCACTTTTATTTACTCTTTAATTTTAAATTTTTCTCTCACAATTTCATCATTTTATTCATAAATTATTATTTTCAATTTTATGTTTAATTTTAATTTTATGTTTAGTTTATATTTATAATAATTAAAATTTAAATATTTAAATTATAATTTTAAATAAAATAAATTTAATATAAATAATATATTTAAGTAAAGTAGTGAGACTCAATATTGGTTCTTTGAAGTTGCACCATTGGAGTAAAAATTAAATAAGTTATTTTAGAAGAGTGGGTCTCACAAAGAACCTAAAAATGAGTTGCACCATTGGAGGTGTTACGAGCTAATTGGATTGACCACGTATCAAAATTGAATAAATAAATTTTAGTTAAAAATAAATAAATAAAATTAAAAGAATGTAATTTTGTAAAATAAAAAGAGAGACTTTAAGAAATCTCCTACTTCGCCGTCAAGTTGCAGTAGTGTGGCACATACCTCAAAAACCCTAAATCATATACTCCAGCGAATTCTAGGATTTAGTTCTCCATCGTCTCCTCCGTAAATCGATTATCTCCATCATCTCAACTCTTCTACTCTACAATGGCCGCAAACGGAATTCCCCCTACTGCTCTCGATAAAGAACAGGCAGGTATTCTTTCCCTTTCTCTGATTGATTTTTCTCTCTTTATACTTTCGTCGAAAATTCACCCCGATTTCATTCTAAGTTTGATTTTTTATTGTTTGGTATTATTTTTATTTTGATTTTTTTGGATGTGTTTGAATAATTGATTTGGTAATGGTAATTGTGCAGATATTTGGAATGGCTGAAAAAGAGATGGAGTATAGAGTCGAATTGTTCAACAAGTAGGGTTCCTTCAACGTCTCTTCACCCCAATTGCATTATCCCTTTTCATTTTTTTAGAAATTAGATATTTTGTGTTCAACATATATAGATTGCTATTGTTAATTTTGTACTAACCAGAATATTTATATTTATTTTGTTATGTTTTTGCTGTGTGATTTTTGTAACAAGTATAATGAAAATTTGTTGTTGGCATGATAATTCATTTGGCTTACCTTTTCAGGATGACCCAGACCTGTTTCAACAAGTGTGTTGACAATAAGTAAGAAAAAGCTCTTTTTTTCATTTTCATCAATGTTTAAGAAATTGGCGGTCTTCCGGTGAAATTGGAGACTAGTTTCTTATTCACTCGAAGGTTTATCTGTTGTGAATGATATAATGATATGTTTGTCACGTTATGTTCTCAGGTACAAGGAGTCTGAGCTAAATATGGGTGAAAATAGTTGTATTGATCGCTGTGTTTCCAAATACTGGCATGTAAGATGTTCTTATGTTTTTGTTTCGATTCAATGTGTCACTATCAAGTTTTTTGTGTCTATTTCAGCTATCAGCTATTTTATTGGTATCTGTTTTTTTTGTTGCAAATCCAGTATTTGATTGTTTGTTTCTACTGCTGAGACAGTTTCTCAGATGTTTAAAAATGCAATCTTAGTTGGGTTTACTTTCTGTTAAAAATGTGTGTTCTTTTTAAAATTTCTACTATTTATTGCCTTAATTGTGTGATAAATGCAAAGCAATGGATCATAGAAGTTGTGTGTTCTGAATATGGTTTTTGAAGATGCAATCTTAGTTGGGTTTATCATCTGTTAAATAGTATGCTCTTTATTTCCACTATCAATTGCCTTGATAGTGTGATACAATGCAAAGAATGAATCATAGAAGTTCTGATTATTTGAATATGGTTTTTACATATGAATTCATGGAAAGTGCACATGTTACCCATAATCATTGTCTTGTTGTCTAAAGTCGAGTTTTTTGTGTTGCCAGGTGACTAATCTAATCGGTCAGCTGCTTGGTACTGGGAAGCCTCAATGATCCAAGTGTATTATATAATTACATTGGTGTCTATTTTGCGGTTTGATCTGCCTGAGCTAGGACTGCAATATTAGTAGTTGCAGCCTGAGGAGATTTAATATTTTGCATGACTGTGTTGAGGTTCAACCTATTTTGCTAAGAGTTTGAATACTTATGAGCTTGATGTAGCTCACATAAAACTCTAGAATAATTTACTCATTTTTAATTTAGTTCATTCTTCATTTCTAATTTGACTCTTTAGGTTTTACCCTCAGTTTATGTTCTGTCAACAAATAGTTTTTGATTATATTACCCTGCTACCTAGTTGCTCTTTCTCTTTGTCTAACTATGTATTTGGAGTTCAGATAGGAGCAAAATAAATCAATGATTCTATAATAAACATAAATAGATATGATAGAGGCAATGCAATAAAGATGGATTTTACCATCATGAATTAAGTTCAATAGCCTTAGAGAACCCTCTCCAGTGTGAAAAACCGAATCTCCAACCAAACAAAACACATCAAACATCAACTGGCATCTTCTCACTCATACTGCTTCAAAACGCTATGAAGCATAGACATAGAACCCAGGTGAATCTAACAATATGTATTGGTGTTAGTCATGTATTGATGTCAATATATTCGATCTGATGTGGTAGTGCCACATATATTACAGATGAATCTAACAATGTGTTAGTGATGTATAGCTACATATATTTTGAAATTGCTGAATGTTCCAGTATGTGTTAGTGGTAGTATTGATATTTGTATTTTCAATGTAAATTGACGGTATAAAATATGCAAAAAGGAAATCAATAGAGACGTATAGATAAACTATGAATCGGTGTGAGTCAGACCGAACAAATTTGTTGATTCACACTGACCAACATCTTCAATCCTTCTTTGGTTGACAACATTGGGAGTCTCCTCACCATTTGGTATAATGTTGTCTGGTAAAATTTCTAACTTGGCAGTTTTTAGTTGATCCAGGTGAAACCACCCCAATCATCCGTCTCCTACCCTTGTTCCTATCATCTATTCACCCATAAATGAATGAATACTATAAAACAAACTTGAGTTAAAAAAATATTAAAAATTACTTTTTCATTGGCCCATTTAGGTTTGATTCTAGAGGTATTCAGATTTTTATTTAATTTATAATTTTTATTTTGATTAGTTTGAATTTTAACACCCCACTTTTCAACCGTTTTTGGTGTGAAGATTAAGGTTTGGAGAATTTCTTAATACACCCTATTAATTATATTAGGACACCACCTGAAAAATACAAAATGCCCTCAGATTTCGAAGATGTATCTTCGGTTGTACCTTAAGAAAATAGAATTCTGACTTAATGTAAAAAAACTACGAAGATGCATCTTCGTGTACAATTCGGAGATGCATCTTCGGACTATATTTGTCTAAAATGCGCTAGAACTCTTCCTTCATGACTTCTAAAACAACAACTCTAAACATTTCAAACTCTCTCAACACACATTATTTTAAAATCAGTCAACCATGTTCAAAGCTTTTTTCATCAACATTAAGTATTTCAAAGAGATCATTCAACATTGAAGTAAACTCACAATTTGTAGGTTTTTTTATTTTTATAAGTTTTGAGTTTTTATATAAATTAGTAGAAATTGATGATTAGGTTAAGAAATATATAGTTTTTGCATGATTGATAGTTTATACATACTGAAAAATTTGTTTGATGGTTAAAAATAACGATCAATGCATTATTTTTTAGGGTTTGGTTGTATGTATTACCACTATTGACGAAGCTAAATGTTGCAGAAAATTTCGAATATGCATCTCTGAAATTTTCAACGTTTGCGGAGATGCATCTCCGTAATTTATTTGTCTTTTTTTTTTATATACTTTTTTTGCTTGTACGATTGCTTGTAGTAATTGTGTAACACTTGTCTGATTTACTTACATGCATTATAGCTGATAGAGACGACATACTGAGGCACAAGAGGATTGCATAACATGCATCTGTCCGGAGGAAAGAAAGTCAGGTTCTGGAGGCTCATGTTCCATCCAGCCCTATTCATGCGAATGCGTTTACTTTTAGGGCTCATATATCTCCACCTTCTTCTTGTAGCAAACAAGTGTCATCTACTGACGCATCATTACCTCCATCTTCCTGTGGGCAACAGGTTTCACCAGGCGTCAAAGGTACCTGAGTCATTGGAGGTACCTGAGGCACCAATGTCACCCTAGGCACCAGATGTATCTCTTGCTGATGAATCAGTGCCACATCAGGCTGATGAGACAGTTCCATCTCTGCCTATTGAGGCTGATGAGTCAGTCTCACCTCAGGTATTTAGAGGAGGTCCGATAGAGTTGTCATTGCTGCCTCTTTATCCGGACCATACTGTCAGACATATCTGGGACGAATAGGTAAAATTAGTTGGATTCATTCTTTTTAAATTATATATATTATTATATTACAAGTTTCTGAGATATATTTATTATTTTGCATGACCGTGATCCGCTGAAATTCATTAACCATGGACGAAAGATTACTGACTTTCCTCAACCTAATAACAAGTGGTTTCAGGCTAATTTTTCCTGTCTGGGATGAAAGACTTGTATAAGACTGGTTATGTTATGGTGAACCACGAGATGCTTAATGCATTCGTGGAGAGATGACACATTGAGATCTCGTCATTTCTCAGACACCTTGTTGTCTATGCTCTTACTGCTATGACACGTAGAGATATGGATGTTTGATGATTATCTTACTCATCTGGTGTCGGAGGAGGAACGATGTACTATACCTGAGAGCGATTAGAGTTATGTCGACGGGTACATCAAGTGGTTCTTCAGGGTGTTACATCCGTATATGGTGCAAGCTGCTCTAGCAGATCCACCAAGGTTAGCTCATCAAGTGATACTAGAGGACGACTAGACACAATTAGATCATGCTTATGATATCTTGTCTAGATGTTGTCGCATTGTGCAGATTACGCAGACAGACATTAACAGAGGTATCTTTTTTTATGGTTCCGAGGTGGGCATATCCTAGATGCTATTATGACGGAGGCATGAAAGAAACTGATGTACCAGAGACAGCGTTGGAGGACGGGGCAGAGGAGACCGAGGAGCCTGATGAGCACTAGTCCGACATACGCAGTTGTTGATAATGTTTGTGCTTTAGATTTATTATCGATTGTATTTTATTTAGATTTATTTCGACTTTGTTGTATATTTCGACTTCATTGTGTATCGGTTGATGACTTAATTGGACCATCTGAATTTATGTCATTTTTTATATATTGATTGTATGGTTTAATACTCGTTAAATAACATATTCGTTAACATAATAAATCTTCATTTTCATAAGTAACCATAAAACTAACTTAACTTGCACTACTTTGATAGGTTACGGAGATGCATCTCCGTAAATCCTAAATAGAATTGCATCTCCAGAATAATAAACGTGTAAACTGAATCTTTCAGTCTATTTTAAAATATTTCGGAGATGCATCTCCAAATCAATTAATATTTTAACTTAAGATAAAGTGCATTCGAAAATAAATTTTCAAAATCTAAAAGTATTTTAAATTTTTCATAGAATATTATCTAACCCCATAGGATGAGATAAGAAATGTCTTTTATTTTTATTTTTTTAAGATGGGTAATAAAAAGTGTGATGGAGTAAAGGAATGATCCAATGGTAATATAATTTTCTCTTGTACATCACATAAGAAATAGAAAAGGGAATATTGACATGATTATGTAATTTTAACCCTTCTCATAGAAAGACTGTAACTTTTTCTTTAAAATGCAAACAAATATCTATCCTTAGGTAACATAAGATTTTATTATATCAGGTAACTTACTACGATAATGGTAAGAAAGACAGTTTTTTATTTGATGGTCAGGTGGAGACATTCTCCCATATTGATATAGCATTATTACTCTCCTTTTGGGAATCAAGTTTAATAGTACACTTGTATCACATCGCCTCAAGATTTGAATGGGGTCACCTATCCATTCAATGAAACGATTCTAAATACATTATTTTCTCAACAGTCAACCATGCCAACGAGACAAATATGAAATACCAAAAGATAAAATGCAATTTATTGCTATTCACACTTCAATTGGTTGTTAGTAGACAATGATGTTCTATGATTGTTATGAGCTTGCAAGGCTTTCACCTATGCAGCAGATATGATGAAAAATGACATGCTATTCTGTCAAAAAACGACTATTTGTTGGTTACCCACTTTGTGCACTTAACGCTTTAGACCCTTCCAGCTGGAGAGATTGGAGGATAAGCAACATAACTTGCAGGAATGTCCTCAGATTTACCATGAGCCATTTTTGAATCATCTGTCTGAACCAATTGAGATTGCCTCCTATTTGTTCCCTCAATGGAGTTTCTTGATCCAGAAAGTTCACAAGGGAGCTTGCCATCCAACATTGCTATGCAGATTGAAAACGCTTGCAAGGGTGAAAGCGATGAGCCGAAAGCTACTGAATATGCTCCAGCTTCAAAATTTGAAAAACTGAAAACAGGACGGCTATCTTGACATTGGTCATTTCCCTGTATTAAGCATTTATGGTCAAAAAAACTTTAGTAATCAATTATCTACAGGCTAACCAACTAAAGATTAATCTGCAATATGATAACAAACTTAAATTAATCAATCAAGAAATACCTGGAAGAAAAGCTCATATTGGCCTGCAAAATAAGCTTCCGGTGTTCTTGATTTTCTGCACGTTTGATTATTGTTTGCAAGAATTTTTAGTTTACAAGCCAAATCCCAACCACCACAATCACAGGATCCACCAGTTTTCCAGCGCTCAATCAGCGATGAAGGTCCACCATCACTTGGAAGACTATGAACCCCACTTGGAAGCACCGCTGTCACCTGTAATAGATCTTGACTTTCATTCTGGCAACTGTTTTGATTCGCATAATTGACAGCTATGGCAGCAAGCTCATCATTTGGCTGATAATCAGTCACCTGAGGATCTCCTTGCTTTAGCTTTACAGAAAACAAAACAAATTCTTTTGTGATAGACTCCACACGATTCTGACTATTTGAATCATGATAGTGCATATCAGAAAGCTTCATTTGGGCAATGACATGGCGAACATAATCAGGACCTTTGCTTTTTTCGTTGTGATTCGTCCGGCTTCCATTCTTCTTTTTAATCTCCTTAAAGGTGTAAAAAGTATAGATACAGTTGCATTCATCTTTTTTTAATACAGTGGATCTCTTCACTGTGGCAGCAAGAATGTTGCTATTGTTGCCAGCAGCAAATGTAAAAAGGGGCTGACCATTCTTCATGGAAATTCTCAGTACAGATTGAGATGTTGATGGCATATGCGCCTCTTCATTCGACGATTCTACAGTGTTAGCTGTGGAACAACCAAACCTCCCGTCCTTGTCCAATTCTTTGGCTGGAAGTATAGTGGAACATGTCCCATTCCCTGACCTACAGTTCTTATTTGTTGACACTGTTTCTTTTTGAAATAAATTCATGGAGTGATGGCAGTTTGCTGCCTTTGGTTTCAGCAGTGGATCAAGTAATCTCCTTAAAGGGCTTGACCTGCCTTTACCTGCAGTACCTGATTTGTTCCCTGATATGTTTAACCCAGCACCACCTCTCGCATTTTCTGAATCTTTTTGAGGTAAATCCAAGGAATGATGGCAGTTTGCTGCCTTTGGTTTCACTAGTGGATCAAGGAATCTCCTCAAAGGGCTGGCCCTGCTTTTGCTGGAACTTCTAGATTTTTCACTGCTGTCTTGAATGTTTGAGCTACCATAACCTCTCACATTTTCTGAACTAGGTTTATGTGTTGCAATTGAGCTCTGGTGTGGCACATGTGCAACTTCCTTACACCCAGAAACTTTGTTTGTGAATCCCATGCTGAAGCTTAATCGGCGAAAAGGTGAAGAGCTTCTTGTTTTTTCAGTAGTTACTTTCTGATCGGTAGTTACTTTTGTATCTACTTCTCTGGGAGGTCCATTTGCAGATGAAGATCCAGCAATGCTGGGTTTTCTTTCCTCGACCTTTCTAGATCTGTCTGGGCTCATTCCCATTCTGCCGGGTACAGGTACTGAAAAAGTAGAAACAGGAATTTTGAAACTTTCTGAATCTAAGGAACTGGACCATGACTCTTTAGGCTGAGAATGACTTTGACTAAGTTCATCTGCCAAAGAACAGGATTTTGAAACATTGCAACTCATATATGTACAGGACGGTTCCTTAGGATTTACTAAATTTCTTTTTTGACTATGGCTTCCTAACTTCTGATCCAAGGTTGTTCCCTTATCAGAAGCTCCAGAATGATTGTTTTTTTGAGGAATGTCTCTAGGTAAAATAAGAACAATTGGTTTGCTTTTCCCAAGCATATCACGTGCATTAATATCACCATTTTGTTCTCTAGGTAAATTCTCCTTTTTCTTTTCCATTTGATCATCTCGTGTGTTCATTTCCAACCTATCACTTCCTTTCAGTATACTAGTAGGATGGTTTCGGGAAAGATGATCAACAGTCCGAACATTTCTTCTCTGTATGTCAAAACTACTGTGCCTACCTCTAAGATTCACACGATTTCCAAAATTTTCTGCAGAGGACTTAACAGCTATAGAACTGTCTTGTTTTGTAGAAGCAATAGAGTGAGATTGCACTGACGGAGGGATTATCCTTATATGAGGAGACCAATTCAGACCCCTTCTAGAATTACCAGATAATTCCTCCGGGCGAATAGATGACGATGTATTACTAGAAGATGTTGAACTCTGACTACTCCTGTGGGGTACATGTTTATGGCTGTACTGCCAATGTTCTAGACTAGCCCAATCAAGGACCCCGACGTTCAAAACTTTCTCGGGGACTTTTTCACCCCTCTCCAAATAACCTGGTAAACTTGACATGTGCATAACAAGCTCATCTTCATCATTTTCCCTTCTTCGGGTTGTTTGCTTTTGTTGATTTGGTAAATGTTTTAAATAACTATCCGCATCATTTTTGGTAATCTCGTTATTAAGATCTGCATATGACAGAGATGACTTCTCTGGTTTGAACCCATCACTAAGTTTATTACTCATACTGGTGTATAGCTGTCAGGCTTCAATTCTAACCTGAGATCAATTGGATAAACATTCCAAGCACATGCTTTGAAAACACCTCTTTGCCTCTCCCAGAAACTTCCCTCAGGAAAACATCTCCGCTTGCTTTCCAGCTGCAAAACTGAATTACAATTACAATTCAAACTTCCAAAACCAAAGATTCCATAAACATAGTTATCACATATAAACAAATAAATAAAAAAATATATTAATACCAAAGGTATCTTCTATTAACCACATTAAAGAAATGCAAAACTAATAGTATTACGTAATTCCGTTGTAATTTCGTAATAATAACCTGGAGTTAGATTTATGGGACCAACTACAAAATCATATTAAAGAGAAAATAAACCTGCAATTACTCTAATTTGGCCGGCCGCAGCGACAAATGAGAAAATCCAATCCAGTTAATCTCACTGAAACTAGTAATTATAGTGGCGAGAATTTACAAAACTGAAAAAAATTTCAGTAAAGAAAGCATAATCATAACCCTTTAGGGTAGATTGTATCACAAAACTCAAGTGTCACTATATATGGAGCGTTTCTACTTTGAATGGGTGTTCCTAATAAATCTCATAACAAAGATTAGCACAAAAATTAAAACTTTACGTTGGATTATGAATTAATTCCAAAAAAAAAAGAAAGAAAATGTCATAACTGAAATCAAATAACACAAGCAAAGCTTAAAAACAAACGCAATTTCAAAAAAATCAACTAACGATAATTTGCATCATCATCGTCATCATGCAACTACAACAACAACAAAAAAAAAAATTGCCAAAAATAACGGAATAGCTCAACGGCATTTACATTGGAATCTCAAAAAAAAAAACGGAAAATTAAGGCCTCGTTTGTAGTTTTCTAAAAAAAAAGCACTTTTTCTTGAAAATCTTACTAATCGATTGATGTAAATACTAAAATTGAGCATTGGATTAGAAGATGAATCTCAATGCGAAGGTTTGAAGGTAGAGAATGGTTACCGGAGAAGCGAGAAATGGAAAGAATGAGTGTCGGTGCCGTCGTTTGTTGGAAAACGACGTCGTAACAGATTGAAGTGTAAAACGAGCAACACCAAAACGCAAACGCGGCAATGTCGTCTTCGAGTGTTACTATTTCTGAGCACTGTAACTGTGCCTGCTATGAAGTGTGAAGAGTCAATGAAGCTTGGTTTTGTGGGGCCTACTGTTTTCATCCAACGGTTGGAATTAGGGGTAGATAATATGATCGTACGGTGACTATTTCTTGGGCTTTATAGGGGCCCATTTGTGTGATTCTAGGCCATTATTGGGCCTGTTGTCGTTTTGTGGGTTCTTTTTAGTCATTGGCGTGTTCAGATACTGAACACAAACGAACAACTAGAGTAGTATATGCGCGTTCACTTTTATCTCTTTCTTTGTCATCATCTCATTATGATGAACTCCTATACGGCTTTCTACATTGTCAAAGTTGGTTTCAACTTTTTTTATCAACAAAAAGGTTTATTCATTCATCTTTTGATTTGAAATAAAGTAAAATACAAATAATGATTTTCAATTCCACTTTTTAAAGAGTAATTTGTAACTTACACGTGTGCTTTGTTAAGTTGATCATGATGTGTGTTTGGATAGGTCATGCAGGGTTTAGAATAGTTCTTTTCAAGTTTTTGTTTCTGATATGTAGGATGATTTTTTTATTATTATTTTTATAGTGGAAAGATTACAGCGGCCAACATTTTGATATTTTTTCAAGAGGAACATCTTAATCAAGTACAAAATCTCTTAGACTTTTTGACAAATAATTGGATGAAGTTTGCAAATAAGAACTTCAAGAAGTTTTTAGAAGAGTTGAAAGTTTGATAATATTTCACGTTAGTAGAGCATTCCCAAACCAACGCATAAGGCGAAGCAGCAAACTGAGTAGTTATGAGAGGGTTATAATACAGACTCGAAGCGGTCAACGTGAATTAGGAAGACGAGCTTCTACGTGTCTTTTGGGCATCGAACTACACCCCATTTGATAACTAACGAGACTCTTTTCAGCTGACCTACCGAATCAAATTCGTCATCCCCATCAAAGTAGAAGAGTTGAACCGAAGGATGACACACCCCTTATCTGAAAAGGATAACACTGAGCCAATTAAAGAAGAGGTAGATTTTCTGGAAGAGAATAGGACATCTATCTCCCTTATGAATGTCATCGTCAAACAAGCAGCAACAGTTAAGCACAACAAAAGGGTCTGACCGTGAGAATTTAAACATGAGGACCATGTGTTAAGACGGACCGAAGTCCGGGGGAAGAACTTCAGAGACGGAAAGCTCGTAACAAACTAGGAAGGGTTGTACAAGATTAGGGCCAATACATGGAGTATAACTTACACTCTAGAGACTTTGATTGGAAAATCCATCCCAAGGACGTGGAGCACTACGAACTAAAACGGTATTACAACTATGTATTCCAAAGTCCGCCTAGAGATTGTAATTACTCACACTCATATGTAATATTTTAATATGAATACTATGATGCTCTTTGTTGGAATTATTTTTACTTTTCATTAAAGAAATCATTAAGCGAAGGCAATTATGGCACACTAAGTCGTAGTTGGCACACCAAATCCTTGTAGCTAGCCACTATAGAACATAAGCAATGAAGCCCAAGATACATAGAACTCGAACCACGATTAAACTTGGGGGAAGGAAGAGAACTTGGCCATTGACCGCACACGATCCTTGCAACGTTGAAACAAGCTACACATGTGAATAAAATGATGAAACAAAATCACGGCTAATAAAACAATGAAACAAAATCGTAGACGAATAAAACAATGAAGTAAAATCCTAGGTGAATAAAATGACGATGAAACAAAATTTCAAGCACAGAACGATGAAAACAAGTCGTGCACAAACAAGCATAGAAAGGGAAAAAGTAGTGCAACACACTAGGCAAAGAGAAATAAATAAATTAAGTTGAAATAAAATATTGTTCAAAGTAAGTTACAGAAAGGCCTCAACAAAATCAAAAGATTACAAAGTCACTGTGTTTCCTCTCTAAGCTCCCCTTCCTTGTCAGGCTCCTCACAGTCACTAACGATCTCCCATCGATAACCTTCTTCTACAGGTGCATCTACCATCGAGGAATCTGAATGCCCAGGCACAACACCTCAACTTGGTCGCAATCGTTCTTGAAGGAATCAAAGATGTTCGGTGAGAATATGGGTAAGAAACGGTCTATAGAGGGTGAGTAGGCCTTAAAAAATATTTTGAAAAGCTTTTTAATCACAGTTTCAAAACAATATTGATTTTGCATGGACATATCATGCTTATAGATTGGAATTGGTATGCAATAATTAATAGATGATAGGCTTCGATCAAAAGGGGGTGAATAGATCACAAATTTAAAATTTAAACTTTTGGCAAAAATGGCTTTCAAAGGTTTTATGGCACAACGGAAACAACTCAATCGAATCGTCTAACTGAACCTACTATCCAAAAGCTCAGATATGCGTAAAGTCACACAGTTGAATGATAATGAACACAAAATTTTCAACAACAATTAATCAAAAACAATTGAATGCTAAGCTACATGTAAAGCTTATTTCCAATGATCAAAAACCAATTAAAAGCACTAAAGACAATTTATCGAACAATTTGTGTGCAATCGATAACATTTGGAAATTTAATTTGTTTTGTTAATGTTAAAGCCAATCACAATCAAAGTGATTATGATTCTACCAACAAACCTTAATTTAAAATGTAATCAAAATTTGATTTTCAAACTAGTTGATCAAAACAACAACGAATTCGATAATTTACAAATATATATATATATATATATATATATATATATATATATATATATATATATATATATATATATATATATATATATATATATATATATATATATATATATATATATATATATATATATATATATATATATATATATATATATATATATATATATATATATATATATATATATATATATATATATATATATATATATATATATATATATATATATATATATATATATATATATATATACGCACACACGCACACACACACACACATATATATATATATAGAGAGAGAGAGAAGGATTTGTTTTGATAGTTCCCCAATCGGTCTCGCTATTGGTACGTCTGAAATGAGATACCTGCAATTAACCTTACTTTGCAAACAATGTATATACAAGAGATGAAGAACTTTAATCACATAAACCCTATGGTTTATTGTTGATTTTATCACCTCTAAAACCCTTGATCAAAGTTTGATCAAGTCACCAACAATGCTGCTTCAATCCACCAGTTCTTGTTACTACCATGCAAGACCTCTCGTCTCAAGGTTTTCGCTCAGTAAGATTAATCTCAAGCACGCACTTGTTGAACCTAAGATTTACGAAAAGGACCCACCGTCTCACGTTACTACATTGCAAAGAAACCACCTTCCCCAAGACATTCACTCGATCAGATCCGTATTTGCGTAATCTTGTCCAAAACCTTCAAATCCTCAATGATCTTGAAGGAAAACCCCGACTTGGTTTTCTTATTTGAAACACACAAAGAACTCAACCCAATATTCTCGGTACACCAACCTAATTGGACGTTATCAACCCTAATCTAGATGGTCACTCAATCAAACAATGATTATGTGTAGTTTAATTGTGTGTATGCATAGAAGAAAGGTTGAAGATGATGAGTATGCTTTGTAATTATGGTTTCGTATAGGTTTTACACTAGAATCTTACTAGAAAATGATGCATATATGAGTATTTACATATGTATGAGAGATAAGGAGCAAAAGGAATACAAGAAAAATTGAAAGGAAAAACAAAATTTTAATTTTTGAAGGCAATAGGTCTTATGAAAGCAATATGTCGACCTATAACGGTTTTAGGTCGGCCTATTTGAGGTGACCTATAGCCAGTGGCTACAACCTTAATTATTGAGGCATGGAGATCGACCTGAGCAAGTTATGTGTTGACCTATACTGAAGCAA